AGAAGATAGACCCAGGGTAGGGCTGCAGGGCAGCAGGGAGACCACCCCCAGGGGTCTGTGGGGGGACCGTGACAACAGGCCAGTTGGTAATGGTCCCTGCAGGCAGGTGGAGCCCCACCGAGGCTCGGCATGGTGGAGACTGATGACAGCACCCACACCAAAAGTGCAGGAAAAGGTTGTTGCCTGCAGGACGGGTCTTGGAGAGGCTTGGGAGGGCAAGGGCTGGAGCTGGGCCTGCGGCTGCTGGCTTCTCCAGGCGAGGGNGGGAGGGGAGGTGTGATCTCTTTCTACTCTTTCTCAAGTGTGTGTTTTCTAGAACGAAGTTTATTTTAAAATTAAAAAACTTAAATAGGGGCAACTGTATTTGAAATTGGGGCTGTTGCCTTCCCTTGGCCAGCTCCTCGTCTGGTGAATGACTTTGCTGTGATGCTCTTGTTGGTGGCCCCACCCCGTGTCAGGGCAGCCAGGGGTGTGGGTTGGCACTGCAGTAGCTGGAACTCACCCCCAGGTCCCACGTGGCTGTTGGGGGGCAGGGCTCCCGCTTGCTCAGTGGCCGTAGCCTGTGCTGTTGATGCTGGAGTGAGGGACATGTGCAGCTGGTAAAGTGTTAGTGTTCTCAGTTGCTGCTGTTAGCGCCTCAGCAGGCACCGAGCCCCTCCCTCTTATGCTGAAAGGGACACCCTGGTGGGCTGGCCTTTGATCAGGTTGATTGGGATGAAAGCGGAACCTGAGAAGGTAGAGCCTCGGCCTGAGGCATGCGGAGGATCCGTGGCCACATCGGGAAGCCGCAGAGGAAGCACTGGCACTTCTCAGCTTCGGAATCTCCCACCCCTTTACACAACTGCCAGCTCTTTGTGGCAGGCACTGATCACAGCCCCCATCAATTGCTGGCCAGACTCCTGCTCTCAGGTGACAGCCGCACGTCAGCCTGTTTTCCCGACTCTGAGCGGGTCTAGTTATCCGCTCTTTGTGGCAGGCACTGATCACAGCCCCCATCAATTGCTGGCCAAACTTCTGCTCTCAGGTGACAGCCGCACGTCAGCCTGTTTTCCCGACTCTGAGCGGGTCTAGTTATCGCACCCAGCAGCATCAGGGCCTCAGGTAGGCCGCAACGGAGTGCCAGTCAGACTGATCAGGAAACCGTGGGGCAGAGCCTCTGGCAGATGGCGTGGCACACGCTTGCGTGCAGGTTTGTGAGGCAATGTGACCTTCCACCCAAGGCATGTGCTGGAAGTGCCGCCACGTGCCTTGAATGACGTGATTCCCGTTCAACTCTCTGCTGTGAAGCCTTCCTCTCGTGTGAATCTCAGCTGAATCCTGCTCCTCCTCTGTCATTGGCCTTCACTGGCCTTCCATCTGTTGTGTCTGCCGTGGGTCTCCCTGCTCTTGCTGCCCTGGTGTGGAAGGTCTGTGCTGCAGCTGGTGCTCCTTGATAGCTGCAGCTCAGGGCCCAGCCTTGCTGCTGTCCTGGGCTCTCACACATGGAGGACTCTGTGTCTCTGAGCCACTCTGGGATATGACACCTGGACAGTGGCACATCTGCACTTTGGGGATGTCAGTACTGATTCACACGGAATTTGGGGGGTTCTGGGCAGCGGAGGGTGCAGGTGAGCACCACGACTGTTTCTCTTCGTCCTGGTAGGGGGAGGCAGCCGCCTCTGGCTTCTCCAGCTTCCATGACTTGACATTGGAATGGAGCAGCCAAGCCAGAGAGGCTGTGTTGCCTCGGCCAGGGGCAGGTGGGGCCTCACCACTCTCCTTGTGGCTGCCTCTCTGCAGGTCCCTTCCTTCCAGGGACATTCCTTCCCTTTCTCCTTCCCAGGCATCTACGAGAGGGGCTGTGTGGAGCCTGGGACTAGGCCAACACCAGGGACATGGTGGGGCCACAGCCAGATGCAGCAAAGTCTGAATTTTTATTTCTTAGTCCAATGCAGAAGTCTCACAAGCCGAGTTTGCACAGGACGGGGCTGGGGCCCTGCGATCTGTTTGACAAGCTCTAGGAAGTTCTGGTGCATGCTTGGGTTTCGGAGCCCTGAGCTGGGGAAGGGAGACACTGACTACAGATGGGCGCGCAGACCCTTACCACAGCCAGCTTCCCGGGGGGGGGGCAGGGGGCCCAGACCTAAGTGTGACCCTGGCATTCAGAGCTCACCCCACTCACTGAGCAAGCCTCCTGCCACTGTGACCAAATTGTGGTATGCATGTGCTTGGCACATTCTTCTGGAGAGAGCATCCAGCACCTTCCTCAGATTCTCAAGAAGCTTGTGACCCCCAAATGATTAAGAGCCATGGCCTCGGAGCCTGCATCCCATCTGGAAAGGACAGCTGAGTCAGGTAGTGTGGGTTCCAGGCAGGCTCTGCCCTGTGGCTGGATCCCTCTTCACGTAACCAAGTGGTCTCTGCAGCAGCTCAGCATAGTGTCCAGGAAAACATGTCAGATGTTACAGGGATCACTTTCGCCCTGGGTGCCCCTAGGCATGGCTCTGCCTGTCTAAAGCCAGCCACCCACCGGCTAGTGCTTGCCCAGAACACAGGCTCTTTCTCCAACTCAGGTCTTGGGAAACCTGCTGTTCCTCAGGACTTATTCAGGGTCACCATGTCCAGCCCAAGGAATTCTTCAGGAAAGGCACTTCCTCCTAACTGAAGAAACATCTCTCAAAGCAACTTGAGAAATGAGCTGGCCATCATGCAGGAGCACATCCACTCCCAGCTTGGTGACCCTGAGATGCCTTACACCACCTTTCTGACATCCCTAGGTACTCCTGCCTGTCCCCTCAGGACCTGGATTTTCATGCCCCACAGCAAAAACGTAGTGGGGCAGAGGCCCCATCTCCCTTTCCATTAGGCCCTGCTGCAAGTCTGCCTAGGAAGGGTAAAATTCTAGCACCGACCGGCACCGCCACAGGGGTGGCTGGGGTCCCACTGCCTTCCAGCACAGGGCAGGCTGCTCTAGACTGTCTTCAGAGGTGAAGGTCCCCATCCTAGACAGACTGGGGGCTGGAGCAGCAGGGTTCCCACGAGGCTTCTTGGGGGCCTGGGTTTCTCACTTGGTTAGCTCCTCAGCAATCCTTCCTACACCAGCCCCACTGTGAAGATGCTGCTGTAAAACACACCTGTGTTGAGCCGAAAGGTGAATCCGGGGGTCAGGTATTGTGAGACTCTGGTCAAACCGAGGGGGGCTTCCAGCCTGCTGGCACTCAAGAGCCAAAGACATGGGGGAAGAGCCCCAGAACTCATAATTCATGCTAAGCCCGTGTCTGGGATTCTTCAACCCTTAGCCGAAC